AACCATCTCCACGGACACTCAACTTCAATTCCAATCTTTTGTCTTTCATAATTCTAGCACTAAGTTATACTATTCTCGTTTACTGATATCGAAAATGAATTAGACCTAATTTGTTATCACATAATTAAACTTTTCATAAAAAGTAGAATAAACTTCAAAAATTGAAATTAAAATTATTTCCACATAAGAGTTCAGAAGCTAATATGTGGAAATGATTTTGTTATGGAGTGTCTGTTCTATTTTTAATCAAAAGTTGAATTATTGTAATTTTGGAGTTGTCTAATGAATAGCACAATTTCAAGGTAAGAACTAGAACGTTGTTTAAATAGATACATTAAAATCTCCGTAAACCATTTTTACCCTTAGGGATTTATTTTTTTAAATTTATATTAGTACAGCCCTTAAAATATAGCATATTTAATTTAAAAAACTTTTAAATCCGTAACTTTTAAATCGGTTCAGCCGTTCGCGAGAAAACAATGAATATACAAAAAACTATACCTACTTGTCGAATTATGTAACCACGTTTTTATTAAGTCTTATAGTTTTATAATATACATCGTTTCTTTATATTATTAAGTACGTTGAAAAGAAGAAAAGAGATTAATATAATACTTTGTATTTAATAATGATAAATGGTATTCGAATGTAATAGTAAAAATGTAATTCAAGTATTCGAAAATTACCACAAGTCTGCGAACAAGCGTACTGCTGTCGGAGTTAATTGAAGTTAAAAATTTGTTCGTACCTAACATCAGACCGTACCTCGAACTCGAACTCGCGAAAGGTTCCGGTCCAGCGTCTATAATATGTTCGGGCGGAAGAGAATCGAGAACAAAGAGATTGATTGACAGGGAAATTGATAGATGCTTAATCGTGGGATCTATGTCGTGGTTTAAAACGTGTTAATAACATCTTAAAATACATTTATTATATTTTTTACACCGATGTGCGCTTAGCAAAGACCACCAAAGGTTTTTTCACACAATTTTTACATATATTATATACGTATGTAAATGTATATTAAGTATTAAATGATTTATTGCGCTTGAAATATTATATCATGGTGTCGAAATAAAGAAACTTGTAGGATAATTACGCGCGGCAATGAAAACAGAGTCTATCGAGACCACTGCGATCACTGTTGCAACACGTCTTCAAACCTTCAAACAAATCGTAGGTATTTACTGGAACTGATAAGATAGTGTCAACAGTTCAATAACATGCATCTATTATGCATTTTACTGTTATAATTATTAAGTACTGGCAGTGTCTTATGGTTTGCCCATTCAATGTTTTTATGTATTAATGAACCGACAGTAGTCTATACTTAGTCAGTGAAACTTAAAAAAGTCATGAACCCATCCTTGCACTAGCTTCTTAAGCTTTGGAGTGTTTCAGCGGACTATTGGTAACCCACCTACTATACCGTATAAAAGAATCCATCATTACATTTAGTCCGACTGCGGGAAATGCCTGAAATCTCATATAGATAGTTGGCGGTATACCACCTGGAATATGTCAGATGTAAATACCCAAATCAGTAACAGAGAACGGCATAAAATGGAGCCAGATTACCATTCCACCTTCCTTGAGAGATAATTTAGGCAAATCCTTCCTACAATGAGAGAGGCCCAAGATTGTAAGGCGCTGATAAATAAAGAGATAAAAATTCACAAAGTATTTGTAAAGAATAAACTAATTTAATACAGAATACATACTACGAGTTGTAAAAATTATTATGGTAAACTCACAATACCTATCAAAACTGAACCTAGCAAAGGTTTGAATGTGCATCATTCAATCTAAATATTTTTATATTAAATAAGTAAACCACTGTTATAAATATTACTGACTAGCGATTCGCCCCGGCTGCGCACGGGTCATATCTGGATCTCGACAACAGCGTCACCTACCGGGTGTTTGAATCTCACATAAAAATGACAGCTGTCAATAAGTGTCGTCAATTATCATCAATTCGCATTTGTATTGCACTCTCGATAAAACATAGGTCCATAATGTACCTAATAAATAATAATATTATATTGTGGAAGAAACAGTCCAATATATTTTAATGTGCCAGTTGTGAATCTAAACTATCCAGGGACCCACACAAACACACAAAAAATCACCAAAATCGATCCAAACGTTTAGGAGTTCAATGACATACACATATACTCGACTAAAGTTCATCAAAACATACCAGTTGCTTTATTCTAAACCAAGTAACAGACATTTACAAATAGTTGAGCCTAATTGTTAATAATTTGTGATAAGCTAAAAACCCACTAAACACAGTATCAACAGCCTTGCTATCTTTCATTTACATTGGTTATGTTGACATTGTTATAGCCTTTATATTCCTTTGTACTACGGGAAAAATTGTGTGTCAAGGATATCTAGGAACATGTGCGTATAACAACACATCTGTATGCATTAACTGATTGGCATGTAAACAACAGGTGTTAGCGGGTTAACATGTATGTTGTCCGCTCATATAAAACTTATAATATCCTCCTTTACAACTTTTGTTAGCACTGCCAGGAATTTTGAGTTTGCCTGTGTCCTGCCGTAAATTATTTAAAATTCTAAGGAGTGTTTTCAAACAACCTGGTTTTATTGTAATGGTCTCAAACGATTTATTTGTGGAGGTTTATAAAATTACATCATGGCCTACATCACTTCATCAAGCTCTGTCGTATGCATGCATTGCATTAGAATATTTCTTGTGACAAATTTGTTTTGTAACAAAAAATTTTATATTGTTTGGAAAATACTAAGAGATAGCTAACATACAATAAACGAAATATATATCAATTTATCATTTTATAAATTACACCTGTTATCAAAAGGGTGCGGTATAGATACAGAAATTGCATTTCCAGTGACAGAGTAAGATTTTTTTACTTACGAAGAATTTTGAACGAACTTGATTAAATCAAAACCGGTTTGTTTATTAAATACTCTATTCATAAATCAACTACAAGGGCGTCGCTTCCTTACAATTGAGAGAAAGTAAAGCACCTTGTTATACAACACCTCGAATAAACCTTAAGCTATATGTATTTATGGCAAGTACAGACAAGATGGAAGTGTTTATGCTTCGAGCATAGAGAAAGTACGGACAGGAAGATAACTGGGTACTACCCACGATTGCTGGATTAATAGAGCAAATCAAGGCTTCCGGCTGTGACGGTAAAGTAACAATATAGAAGACATTGCTATGTGTCTACCGGTCACATGATATTGTTTACAAGAAACTATGACAATAACTTGTGACCTTCGAATCGACAATGCTTGAACAAATGCGACGTTTCGAACAATTTATACTAATGAGTTCATGTTTATTCTAAAGAGTTATGACGGTGTGTTTAGTCTTCGTTCGTGGTTAGCAATTCCGTAATGGCAAAAACAAAAACTAATAAACGCGTTAAAATTTAAGTTTGGCAAACACGAAACTTCACTTGCTTCCAAATTAGTAGTAAGCCGAATTTCCTCAAACAATTATTATTTCTTAATAACAAACGAATATTTCACAAACACAATAGCACAAGCACAAGGCAATCCAATAGCACTTCTTCTAGGATTTTTGTGTCAATCATTAATATTATATTATGCACTCAATCAATAAAAAGTCACAACACTTCGATGCTCTTGAGCATACTATTTTGAAGAATGCAATCATATCAAGGAGACTGCCTATGTTCAATGAACACGGATAATGTAATTTCTAATACATAACTCATGTCGTGTGACGCGGCACGGACAGTTATTCAATTTCACTGAATGTAATTATTTCGTACGAACGTTATTAACAGTTGAGGAGTACTGGCACATCCAACACGGCAGAAATGGCCCGCATACGAGATAAGCTGATAAAGCCGCGATACGGATTTGATATTGCCGACGCAAACATTGCTTATGCGCTCATTGCTTCATTGTAGCTAGTACTGATAGTTAAATTAAAAGTATTGTGGAAGGTATCGCGATCGCGATGATAATACCGTACGTACGTGTTAATGTTTATAATGTGAACATATTTGATTTTGCCGTTACATTAAAAGGAATAGAATATCAAATATTTTTAGAAAAATTTTGTGTCTTAAATTTCAAAACATGGTTAAAAAAATGAGGATTTGTAATCATGTCACAAACATTTAAAACTTTTATAGCATTGCGCTCTTCAAACTTAGCAATGAGTATACATTGAGGGAGCAGTCAAAAATATCTTACAAATGTCAATATTTATTGACCAATATCCGTTTATTTGAAAAGGAACTTGTACTAAAGTATACTACTACCTATGTATACTACATAAAAATACCACAAATAATTTGCTTTCATTTTCTAATATTTTCATTCACTTTTCCAATTCAACCATCAAATATGACAGACAATAAGAACGCTCTTTCCTGTATAAGTTTTATCATATATAAAGAATGTACAAAACAAGATATGCTTCATTATTTTTAAATGAAAATGAAAGTTTATAATCATCGACCGTACCGTGTTAATGTGGTCAGTAACAATACAGTACAGTGCTGTTTTTGTATTAATGTTTATAAAAAAGTTGATGACTTTGAAGTCTTCACGTTCGAAAGTTATGAGCTCCCATAGAATAAATTAAGATTGTACATTGTTGAGTGTACTTTAAGAGTGCCATGTTTCGTGTGCGCGAGTGAAACTTGATCACGATCGCTAAAATAATAACGCAATGTAGCTAGCTAACTACGAGTATATAACGGAGGCAAGTCGTGGTACAGATGTCACCATACTTTGCGAAACTGTTGTAGTATCTTTGAAGGCAGAGTCGTGCAACGTATCTAATCTTCTCTATAGCTTTCAAATTTAATGTGTTATATATAGGTTTGAACAGTTTTAATAGACAAATTATCAGCACTTAATTAGCCCGATGATTTTTTTTGTGTTATAATTGTGTCGCATGATATTAACATAAATTTTAAAGAATCAAATTGTTCAGAGTTCGTTTATGAACTTACCATCGAGCACGTCGTCCACGGCCTCCTCTTCATCAGTCTTATGTTCCTCTTGTTGCTCGCGTTTCTTGATCGCCTGCAAGAAATACCCTCGTTAAACTAAGCATCGCAAAATTCACTAATACATTTAAAGCAGGCACTCTGGTTAAGCTATATAATGACATCACGCTAAAGATATGAAAATTCGTTAAGTCCATATCTAAAGGCCGGTAATACATAACAAAACTTATTATGGAATAATAAAATGAAAGCCAGGCAAGCCAAATAAAACGCAAAGGGATTTAAATTTAAATCACACGCGGAACGTGACTATCGTGAATATCTCAACATCTCACCCGCGCGAGCCATCCTCCTGCAGCTTTCAAACACCTCATTTTAAATAGCGATAGTTGACACTAGGGAAAAGGAACTTTATTGCGGTTCCGTACTATTTTATTTAACACCGGTATTGAGAAAACGGCACTTCACTTATCGATTAATCGCGCCACACGGAACATTGTTCGGAGCGGCTCCTCGCGATGCGCTCATTTCTGTGAACCTCTCCGAGGGTCTACGGTGAGCGATGTGGTCGAGGGCCCACGCTCATCAGCCCGTAACAGACTCCGTACGCTAACAATTACTCACGGTTCAGTCGCCTTCACAGAAACGGAGCGATTCCTGTACATAGTGATCGCTCACTTTGCTCACTTGTTCCGTTTTAACAAAATTCAGTTTGTAAAAAATGAGACAAAGAAATATCTGGGTCCAACGTAAACGCTACCGTTTTTAATTACGTGCCAAATAACGCGCATTTTGAGATGAAGTGTGGACAATCGCCGCGGTGATCGCTGTGCGATGATATTATACCCGCATACTAAAACTACTGCCACGATTTAGATCTCACGAATCTATTGTTTATAATGTTTAACAGTGAATAAGAAATTTCGTTGCGGCTCGCGCGTCTGCTTTTACTCTTTCTTGAGGTTGTATTATATTATGTATTATATTATTCTTCTTAGCACATAAGAAACGCAACGATATTTCACGATCACGCCGATATTGTTTAATATAATATATTAAACAATATATGTTAAAATCTATTAGACTAGTAATAGCACTCAACTGTAACGGTTTTTAAGGATAATTCTTAGCATTCCTTCAAAAAAAAAATATAACAAAAAAATAATAACAAAAAACATGGGCCGAAAATAAAAACAACACATTTGACAATAATGATACCCAATTCCATTTCTTAGTTTTAAAATTTAGTATTGAATGCCCTATTGATTATAACACATGCAAGCCTACCAATAATTATTGTTCAAAACATGCAAATTTTATAATGCAATAATACGTACAAAATTAAAGCACATGCTCATATCAAAATACATTTAACATTGAGACGCCTATTACATTATGTCGACTTCACCAGTAGAAAATAGAATAGAATAGAATATTTTTTATTCAATATACATTACATGTGTAATTCTTATTGAAAGTCATTTTTTACTTTACCACTGGTTCGAAAAAAACCCTCTGTCCTGGGAAGAACCAGTAAGAAACCCAGCGGGACTTCTTTTTTAAATAAATTTAACAATATAAATGATTACGAACTATTTACAAAATTTATTTTAGAAACTGCTTGGAAGCGATCACCTCATTCCCAGGGGTTATTATCAACCATGTATTCATTTATACTATAATAACCCTTTTTATACAGTTTCAGCTTAATAAAACATTTAAACTTGGTAATAGAGAGAACCTGTGCACTTTCCGGGACCTTGTTGTAATAGCGTATACATTGCCCCAAGAATGAATTACTGACTCTGTGGAGTCGAGAAACTGGTATCACTAGCTTGTGTTTGTTCCTAGTGTTTACAGAACGTATATCACTTCTTTTACTAAAACTATCTTTGTTTTTGTGAACATACATTAAATTTTCGTAAATATACTGAGAGGCCAAAGTTAATATATTAATTTCTTTAAATTTATCTCTAAGAGACTCTCTCGGTTTTAGATTGTAAATAGCTCTAATGGCCCTCTTCTGTAAAACAAAAATAGTTTCTGAATCAGCCGCATTTCCCCATAGCAAAATCCCATAAGACATTATGCTATGAAAATAACTAAAATAAACTAATCTAGCTGTCTCGACACTAGTGAGACCTCTAATATTTTTTACAGCATAGGCTGCAGAACTTAGTCTGCTTGCTAATTTGGATATATGGGGGCCCCACTGGAGCTTTGTGTCAAGAGTGATGCCAAGAAAAACAGTGGATACAACAGGGCTCAATTCCTCCCCATTTAAAAACACATTGGTATTCAGATTTTGAACATTCGTTGTTGTAAATTTAACACAATTAGTTTTATTTCCGTTCAAATGCAGATTATTAACGTTAAACCAATGCACTAATTTTGATATAGCATTATTATTAAAATATATATTAGTTAATTACAAGATGTTACAAAATGATAAATTAATATTCTAGTGCCTGTTGAAGTAAAACCTTAATCTCGTTTTCACTTTCCCATTTTATTATAAAGTTTATGGGATAGCGATGCCAGAGTTAAAATCCAATCAGGTGACATCTAGAATGTCTTTCAAATGGATTTAGCATAAGAAAAGACTCGGATGCATTGTGACGGTGACAATGAGGTTTTTCGATTGGCCAAAGTAGGTAGTAAAGCTATTAAAGAATCTATAAAATTTTGAATAAACTTAATGGAAACTTAAATAGAATATACTTCTTGCTAACTTCGAGCAGTATTATTAATTATTTTATAATTTGTTTTTAAGAGTGGACAAAATTTATTTAAAAACGGCGTGTGTGCTACAATATGAATTTAAGCTGAGAAAATTACCAAAAGATATTCAACTAGTTTGATATCGTTCTTAAATGACAACAATTGAAGAAAACTTCAGCACAATACAAGCTGATAACAGATTTCTCACTAAAAGATTAGAGTAAGCCGTTACGAAATACAAAAATAAATGTGAACATTTAGGTGTGGGGAAGCTTTGAATTAGATGGATAAACCCATGGTCAGAAACGTAGGCATAAACAGTCCAAAATCAATTTATTATAATAAAAGTAGCAAATTGATAGTTTGATCAGATACTAAAATTGTTGTACGTTTAATGTTTAGCGAAGGGACATGGAAATTTTTAACCATTTGCATTTCCAACGCATTATAGTATAATATACTTTCTGTTCTTAAATTCTTAAGAAAGCATCACTTGCATCGGTATAATTACTTCAGCTCTTGGCGTTATCTTGTGAATGACAGTAACCGCTGCAGTAGCAGAAAAACTAAATTTAAACAGCTTTTCGGCTCTTGTTTTATCAAAAAGAATGTTACTTTTTGGTCATTCTATACATTACCGGCCTTATTTATAATCGTTGATTATTGCTATTTCTATACCTGTCGCTTTCTATTGTTATTAAGTAAAAAGAGAGAGAGAAAGAAATACTAGAGAAAGTAACTTTGTGCATTTCGTAAATTGACGTTGATTTTTATGTTAAAGGATGTTATTATCATAAGTATTTCCAATAAAAAGTTACCTATTTAACTGACTACCCATCCGAATGACTGCCTGACAAAAGATAAAACAAACGGATGGCATGAATATTGTTGAAATACTATACCGAGCGATCATTTTCAAGAATGATAATTATTTTGACTTGTGTAAAATATGTATTCGGAGCTTATTTCGCTGGCCGAGTGTGTGTTTATATGGTGTAGGTGTCGACACAATGTAAGAGGCGGCACGGCTCGCGACACGGTACACAAGCAGTGCAGGGGTGCAGGGGTGCAGGGCACCTGCGCGATGAGGTCCTGCGCGCGGGCCGCGTCGATGTGGCTGACGCGCTTGTTCTTGAGGTGGTGCGGCGTGTCGCGGCGGTGCAGGCGGCCCGCGCGCGCGCCGCCCGCCGCCACGCCCGCGCGCCACGCCACGCGCCGCCCGCCGCGCTGCCCGCCACACACACACACACACACACGCCCGTATCACATTACCACTCTTTTAACCCGCCATCAGTTACGTACGGTATACCATACCCGACAACTTTTTAAACGTTAATTATTTAACGCTCTCGTTGTTGTTTAGTTATTGTTTTTTATTATAAGAAGACACTATTGTTATTTTATTTACCATGTAAGTTGTATTTTTGTTTAAAAAGAAAACGAAAAAACTTAGTACGAAAAATTTGGCATCAAAGTTTCGGGTATCTCCTCATAATTAGTGTAACAATTTCTCACCTCATATACACCGGGTTAATCCAACACTCATACGCCTTCTCAAGAATGTACTAACTCGCAAGCGTGACGAGAAATTCATCCACTTAATTACTACGCTGGACAGTCGAGTTGGTGTACGAAAAATCGTTCCTCGCACAGGTAATGCTACTTCCCATTGTCAGTTTGTGGGATAAGCATTGTGAGGATGGAATTTGTAAAAGAGAAGAAATTACGTCTCCTTACAAACCATAGCACATGTTTCATAAATGATGTTTAAAACCATCGATACTTATTGCAAGATCACAGTTAAAGTTGTTCCTAATACTGTATGACGCAATTGCACATTGGACTCAGCTTAGCTACGAAATTAAATTGTGTAGCACGGCATGCAAAATTACATCCAAACTGTTTTAGTATAAAGAAGTCCCGTACATATGCGAATTAAAATATAAAATATGGAATTTGATAGCAAATGTCAAATTTCGAGAAAACTATGGCTCCACGGCTATGGGACTTCTGCAGTGAAAAAAATCTTCTTGAACTATAGTTTAAGACCTAGACTTTCAATAAATCACGTTTTACAAAATAAAATGGAACATATACGCTTCGCCCGCACAATTAACCAATCCTCCCCCCCCCCCCCATCAACGTGGTAGCGGAATTACATCATAGACTACCCCAGGATGCTACAAGCACCCCTGGAGAATCCCTCGCTGAGCATCCACGACCATGCTATTCCACTCCTGAGCGTGGGTGCTCAGGCTGCCCCGCGTATTCTGGGGGGAGGGGGGGGGGGGGGGGGGGAAATTCCGCTCAACACAAACTCGAGGCAAACTGAGCAACAAGACCAAGGCGACCCCTGCCACATCATGAATTTCTGCAACATCAGGGGACTTCACTCGAACCTAAACGCCGTCCACTACCATCTCGAGACGGTGAAGCCGGCCTTGCTCTTTCTGACCGAGACGCAGGTGTCCTCTCCGGCTGATACTTCGTATCTCTCCTACCCGGGGTACAAATTGGAGCACTCCTTTGTAACTCGGGCTGGAGTTTGCGTATACGCCAGAGAGGACATCTGTTCTCGACGCCTCAGCAGTCTTGAAGGTTCGGACCTGTCCATCCTTTGGGTACGCGTAGACAGCGACGACCATCCGCGCGTCTACGGGTGCCTCTATAGGTCCCATAGCGGTAATGCCGAAACAGACCGACTCATCGGCCACGTCCAAATGGCTACAGATTCCTTGCTACAACAGGTCCCATCCACAGAGATCGTGATCCTTGGCGATTTTAACGCCCACCACGTCGAATGGCTCGGTTCACGTTTAACCGATCATGCGGGGAGATCTGTTTATCACTTTGCCTTGGCATATGGTCTGACACAAATGGTCACATCTCCTACGCGGATTCCAGATGTTGAGGATCATACACCTTCCCTGTTGGACCTTCTGCTGACCTCTCATCCGGACGGATATCAGGTTTCCATCGATGCCCCTCTTGGCTCTTCGGACCATTGTCTGATCCGGAGTGTGGTGCCACTCACGCTCCCCTCGCGGTTGCGTTCTGCAGGTTGCCGCCGTGTTTGGCATTACAGGTCGGCGGATTGGGACGGAATACGGTCTTTCTTTGCTTCCTACCCATGGGGGCGGGTTTGCTTCTCGCCGGATGATCCCAGCGCTGTTGCTGACTCTGTCACTGATGTGGTGCTACAGGGAATGGAACTATTTATTCCATCATCTGTGGTACCCATCGGAGGCAGATCTCAGCCTTGGTTTGGTCGCTCCTGTAAGACTGCATTACGCAGTAAGCAGAAGTGTTATCAAGCCTGGGCTGCGGCTTCGGGGCCTCGGGATGTAAACACCAGCATACTTAAAAAGAAGTATAACTTCGCTTCCAGGTCCTTCAAAAGAGTTATTGCCAAGGCAACGTCGGAGCACATAGACAGAATTGGCGAGAAACTAGTTCGCCTTCCTTCGGGAACCCGTGCATTCTGGTCTCTCGCCAAGGCTGTCCAAGGGAATTTCTGTAAGCCATCACTACCATCTCTGCACGGGGAGAACGACTCACTGGCCCACGACGCAAAAGAGAAAGCCGACCTTTTAGGCTCCCTTTTTGCATCCAACTCGACTGTTGATGACGGGGGGAACACACCGCCGACCAGCCCGCGGTGTGAATGCTCCATGCCGGATGTGCGGTTCTCACAGCGCTCGGTTCGCAGAGCACTCCTCTCCCTGGACATCCACAAGTCGAGTGGGCCTGACGGAATCCCCCCAATTGTGCTGAGGACGTGTACTCCGGAGTTGGTACCGGTTCTAACGCGTCTTTTCCGGTACTCCTACTCCCTAGGCGTAGTCCCGAAATCATGGAAGACAGCTTTTGTCCACCCGATCCTAAAAAAGGCGACCACTCAGACCCGTCCAACTACAGGCCCATCGCCATCACCTCCTTGTTCTCCAAAATAATGCAATTCGTTATAAACTGCCAGCTCATGCGGTACCTTGAGGATCACCAGCTGATTAGTGACCGCCAATACGGTTTTCGTCAGGGTCGATTTGCTGGTGATCTTCTGGTCTACCTGACCCATAGATGGGCAGAGGCAGTAGAGTCCAAGGGGGAGGCGTTGGCCGTTAGTTTGGACATTGCGAAGGCTTTCGATCGGGTTTGGCACAAAGCGCTTCTTTCGAAGCTCCCTTCCTATGGGCTTCCCGAGAAATTGTGCGATTGGATCACCAGCTTCCTTGCAGATCGGAGCATCAGGGTCGTTGTAGACGGTGCATGCTCCGACTACAAGCCTATTAACGCTGGTGTTCCACAAGGCTGTGTGCTATCACCAACGCTGTTTCTTCTGCATATCAATGATATGTTGCAAACCGGTAGCATGCATTGCTATGCGGATGACAGCTCTGGTGATGCTCTATACACCGGCCGTGCCAATATTTCTCGGGGAAACGTCTCCGAGTACCGGAACAAACTTGTGTCTGAAGTCGAGTCTTTGCTGGACAAAGTCTCGGATTGGGGGCGACTAAATCAAGTCCAGTTTAATCCTCAGAAGACACAAGTTTGCGCGTTTACCGCTAAAAAGAACCCCTTTATCGTATCTTCTCAGTTTCAAGGTATTCCCCTTGTTGCCTCAGCCAGTATCGGAATCCTCGGCGTCGACATAAGGAGTGACGTGCAGTTTCGTGGTCACTTGGAAGAGAAGGCCTAATTGACCTCTAAAACGCTTGGCGTGCTCAGCAGAGCGGGACAGTATTTCATGCTGGCACAACGCCTGCAACTTTACAAGGCGCAGGTTCGGCCTCACTGTTCCCATCTCTGCGCTGGGGCTCCCTAGTGCCAGCTCCTTCCACTTGACCGCATCCAGCGCAGAGCGGCTTGAATCGTCGAAGACCGAGTCCTTTCCGATCGGCTGGACTCATTGGCGCTGCGAAGAGATTTTGCATCTCTTTGCATTTTCTTTCGCATTTACTACGGGGAGTGCTCTGAGGAATTGTTCGGATTAATCCCAGCCGCCAAATTTCACGAACGTACATCGCGGCAGAACTCCCGATACCATCCACACCATCTGGATGATTGCCGGTCCACCACTGTGCAATTTAGAAAATGTTTTCTTCCTCGCACAACTTCCTTGTTGAATAGTTTACCACCAGCGATTTTTCCGGACGATACGACTTGGGACCTTCAAGAAAAGAGCCTACTCCTTTTTAAAAGGCCGGCAACGCATCTGCAATTCCCTTGGTGTTGCGGTTGTTCATGGGCGGCGGTAGTCACTTACCATCAGGTGAGCCGCATGCTCGTTTGCCCGCCTCTCCTATAAAAAAAAATTAACTCATTCCTCTGATCTTGTCAAAAAACACACCGAACGACAATTTGGTGTATTATTTTTAAATAATTACCACCACTGGCAAATATGGTCATTGTGTGACCTCGGCTTCACAATTCGTACGCTTGCCTGTGAAAGTTGTTCCTTTGGTTCATGTGAAAATTCCCATATTACCTCATAAATTAAAATGTTCACGGCCTAGCGCTGAGATATAACCATATTTATATGAAAAGGAATAGACCATCACTCACCAGCTCACACAACCGCGCTCACCGAATATTATTAAAATCCTGACAGTCCGAATGATATTAGAAATCCCGAATAAAATAACAATGACAACTGTGACCTATTTATATTCTGATTGATTAAAAAAAATAACTACACTATATCTATTATATGGTGTAGTTATTTTTTTGTGATTAAACATACGTTTTTAAGTTCATTAAAAGTATATAACTAGACTGGACAAAAGTTGCACTGTGTTGTATTTGTAGGATTTTAACTTTCTTTTAAATTTCCTTTTTTAAGATTTACAATAACGTCCCTCCCTTGATTTTACTGAACACGCAAGAAATTTCTAAAATATGTGCAGCCCGCTATATACATTTAAAATAGTACAGATCCTACGAGTACAACTAAATTTGAAAATAATTGTAACTATGTATAGGAACAAATTGTAACTATACATGGGAGCAAGCATGAGAGTTCGCAAGTAGGACTTACTCTATACAGACGAAATGATAAGAGGTTTGCAGTTGTGCGCGCATCACGGAAAACTACTGGATAGATTTCAATTAGGTTTTCTAAGTTTTATTTCTTAGACACTTGGCCCTTATCTAAAAAAAAAAATATCTTAAAAATTATTGTGATATCTTCATTTAATATAAAGTTAAAGTTTTAAGAAATGACGATTTTTATAAGCACTACGTGTTCAGTGATGTGTTTTCTTGCCGCGGAGAAGTTGGGCAAGCGGTGTAGCGCGCATGCGTAGGAGAGGGGAAGTCTCTTCTACGTCTGCCTCATGATAAAGTTAGAACCAGCCGCGCATTATTTGCGCGAGGATGCTGTTCAGTTGTACCTTGATCAATAGGGTATTGATCAAGGTACCATGTAAAAAAAATCAAAAAATATATATTTATGATTGATTTTGTAAAAAGTAAACGAGAAATATTGATTTCTACTTATAAAAATGCATTACAAATTTTATATTTCAATTTAAAGATTTTTTTTTATCTGTGCCTCAAATCTGCAAAACGCTGTCCGCCATATTAGATACCGTCGTGACATCACTGGTTAAGTAAACTATATAATTTGCTGTATATTATTTAGAAATTTTTCAAGTTATGGTCACAATAATTGTTAACTGTTATTCTCTATTTTATTGCCATCTTGGAAGACGGATTTGTAAAAGCAGAAAGTTCTAATATACCAAGGATAAATACATTGATGGTGGCAAAATTTTAAGGATGCAATACCGATTTTTGTTCTGCTGAGTTGGGGAATGTTACCTGGCGTGCCTTTTAAGTTCTGTGGTTTACATATTTACCGGCAATTTTGAATGTGGAACTGCTCAATATTCAAATTTGTTTTAAGTTAGAAGCTCATAACAATTGAAAGTATGAGGATTAATGCTATTGTTTAGTCACAGAGCCATTTTGAATCTGTCAGGTCACGTATGAAAATGAATCTTACTGTGGAAAACATCCGTGCAATAATTTTCTACAACTTTCGAAGAGATCAAACACGGCTTCAGTGTTACGAAGAGCTACCTTCTGTGTTCCATGATGAAGCCCCATGTCTAAGGACTGTCGAACGCTGGTATTTAGAATTCCAGCGTGGACATACATATAATCTAAGTGACAAATCTCGTGAAGGACGTCCAAAATCCACCTTCACTGAAGATAACATCGTTGCTGTGAGAAAGCTAATTATCGAGGATAGTCATGTGACATATCGAGAGATAGAGGCGTTATTAGGCATCTCAGGGACAACCATTCAGAAGACCTTGTATGAAGCGCTTGGTGTGAGAAAGATAATTTGCCGTTGAATCCCGCATTTGCTTTCCGACGATCATAAGGTGACCCGCGTCAGATGGTGTAAGAACTCTTCAAAGGTTCAACCGAGGAGAGTCAAATCACGACATTATCAGCGGTGACGAATCTTGGATCTATACCTAGGAACCCGATTCTAAACAACAATCTACAATCTGGATCTTCCAAGACGATCCCAAGCCTACTTAAGTTGTTCGCTCTCGAAGCACTTCAAACAAAATGGTGACCACGTTTATTACGAAATCCGGCCATGTTGCGACGATTGCACTTGAAGATCGTAGAACGGTTAATGCAGAGTGGTATAACAAAGTTTGTTTACCACAATTCATCGCCGAACTTCGGAAATCTAACCCAAAGCGACGCATCATCCTACACACAGTTCTTACGTGGTAGAGCCGTGCTGCAGCTATATTAGTAGTAGGTATAGTTGTAGCACGAATGGGTCGGCTCGACCGGGGAAAGGCCACGCTCTCACAGAATACCATTGTAAAATAGCAGCTTAACGCTGCTGTGTTTCGTATGGTGAGTGTAGAGAACCGGAGACCCTTTTTTACTGGAAACGAGGCATTACGTCTTAATCCTCACGGGTGACAACGCATCTGCATTTTGATTCGTAATCTACAATAGATGTAGATCTCTATGTGCCGCAGCAACCACTTACCTTCAGGTGGACTGTGTGCTCGTTTGGTCACCCTTATCCTATAAAAAAATTACAACGTAAGCTCACACAGCGCTGGTCAAACGATTGAGTATTTGCAGCAGGAAAACGTAGAAATACTTGACCATCCTCTAAACAGTCCTGACCTAAGCCGTAACGATTTCTTTGCATTTCCTAAAATTAAGAAAAAACAGCCATATTGAACACCACCAATTTGGTGTAGAATAAATGTTTTAATAACTGTTTCGAGCGATTGGAAAAGTGCATTAAATTACCTGGTGTATACTTTAAAAAACAATAAAAAGTACTATAAGGTTCTAGTTGTATTTTTTTTTGGTCAAACGACAAAACTTAAAAGGCATGCCTCGTAAAACATCAATGTAAATAACTATTACCAACTTTTGTTTATGTGTACAATAACACAATGTATGTAAATAGGTCAGAGTGCATTTCGATAATACATAGTTAAGTTTATCTATGATTACAATCATTATTTATAATATCTAAGATAACGTAATCTATTACAAAATTTGACTCCTACCTCTCATGATATTTTGTTTTGTATAAGCGATGGTTAAATATAAGTCATACTTACATTAAAATGATCTTCACAGAAGTATACTTTAGTTTTTGTAGACATTGTTGCCAGTTTTAACCAAGTATTTCTCATATTTAAATCAGTTGGCACTTGAATCCATAACTACCTCGGCGTTCTTATGCTCGTATTTTTGCATTAAGGCACAAGACAACAATGATATAGATGATAACTCATTATTAAACATCCAAAAGTATCTTACTTCTTTGCAAAATCAGCAAACTTTTAGGGCAGTGACGTCACGAGTTGAATAGCATGGCGACTAGCGTTTTGACGCGAAAATTTAAAACGATAGATTATAAGTCATTTGTATGGCACTATTCTGCTTTAAAAAAATTATAGTACTTCATTATCAAAACGGGTGTAATACCCTATTGCTCCCCGTAGTTTCCTATAGTATTCTCAGTAATTTTTCACCATTAAATAACTAATTTTCATATAATTCGTTTTCTTACCGTCGTATTTATTTGTTATTATTAATGCGGCCGAAGTCGCGGGTATCAGTTAGTATACCATAAACTCGGGCACTCATACCTTCACCATTCTATTTCTACCAATGTGTATGCGATATAACACTTATGTACGCCATTAGATCGGGGGTAAGTTTATAGTATTAGCCATATAAAAGCGGGATTCCACAGCTCCCGACAGTTTGTAGAATTATGAGGATATGAATATGGCGTAAGAAATAGTGAAAAAATAACGAAATCTCTGATGTATAAATCCATGGTGTTCTCTATTAAACGCTTTAGTATATTTTACCACACTAGAAATCTAAAGTAATTCACAATTTATAAATAAAAGTGTGTTTAGGTTCACAATTTATTTTCCCCAAATTATTACCACAAAGCAAGCTGATTTCATAAATTATGTTGGTTTGGTTATCATTATATTATAATTTACAGTAATCCACGTTAGGTGTTTAATTGTTCCAACTACCATTAGACTATACAAGAGCCCAGTGCCAAATTTCTACCATGTTGCCACAATCACAATAACTTCAAACTGCATATTGATATTTTAGGACTGCCTATTTTGAGGCATTCATTGGCCGACTACACAAATCTGGTAGATGATGGACTCTTTCACCATAACACGTGGTATTATGGTATATAATTTAACAATATCCTGATAAAACATTTAACATTTCAAAACCTCTGTTCGACGCTGCTCTATATTTCTATGATACTAAATATTCCCAGTTCCCACATCTCATATTACGTCAAAGATTACCACGTGAATAAGCAGACAACACTAATAAAATTTTAAAGTAGCGCACAGGGCCATCGCAGAATTGAAATTAATTGCATTAATGTTTATTAACGCTGTGAAAAAATGTTCAACTATCACGGAGTAATTCAACACACTAAACATATTATTTTATATAGTATAATTATATTTATCGCAGTATTATACCTTTTGGTAGCAAATCACAATGTTATAGTATCTTAGGTAAATTTTCCTTATATTCTTTAGAATAAAGTACATATAGTATTATTTTATCAATGCCGGTAAAATCTCACTAATATACTCGTAGTAATTTAATAAATGTTATTTTATATTTATTTGTATAGATGTTTGCTTTGGTTCATGTGTACTTTATTATTTCGGATCTTTTTAAGAAACTAATATAATGAATTAAAATACGAAAGTTACTAAGGTTAACTTGAAAACTAAATTAAGTAAACGGATAAATTTAAGGTAAAGGAAAAACATTAGATAAAAGGAACCATTTAAAATTTAGATTGGAGACAGCTATTTGATTTAAATGTTTTATCCTGTACATGTTTGATAAGGTTCAGCTCCTTTATATTCTCATAAATAATCCCACGAAAGATAATACTTACGCCTAAATCTAATATGTAATCCCGAATAATAACTGTCATAATAAAGCAAGCGTACTTAAATCCTATTAGCTTAACCATTACTTAAGCTAGAATGTGAAATAGACTTACAGCAAAACCTACCAAAAAATTGATAGACTAAAAATTTCAACGGAAAAAATATTGTTTATAACTGCGATTACCGGTAATTTTTAATTAACCGGTAATACAACGGCTTTTTAACATTAACCAAACATAGTTTGTCTTTGTTATTAATAAGTGATTTCTACAAAATTATTTTTGAGAGATCCTACCTCTATTTTACTTCCCCTTTGTGTTAATTATCTCACTAGCAATATGGTTAATCAATTAACATATAAATATATATGAATATTTGCGAGAAGTTAGTAACCCAAATAATGCGAATATACTTTGTTATAGACTGGCCCCAAAATATACAACTAAACGTTTTTCAAGCTTTGATTACCTATGTAGTCAACAAAATGTTAAGTTACCTTCAAAGAGCAAACCGTTGCCAGTGTAACAATAAAATTTTTGCCTTACCTCAAGTTCGTCAGAGTCCTCATTTTCATCATTTTCGCCCTCCGATGATTCTCTTTCTTGCGTATGATGATCGCTCTCTTCATCTTTTGTTACTTCGGGTGGTGATTGAGTTTCAACAGGCTGTATAATAATTACAACTTTTAACAAAAAGTAAAAACCGACATCAAATTGCTAAAAATAAGTTATTTATTTGCTACCCTTAGGGGTTTAATTTTTTATTCAAATTTATATGGGACCCTACCCTTTCTAATAAAAAAGAATCATCAAAATTGGTTTAAAATCTGCGAAGATATCGTACAAACAAAAAAACATACACTCGAATTGCGAACCTCCTCCTTATAAAAGTCGGTTAAAAAGAAAATTAATTTAGTATGAAGGTTATTGATTGGCGGATTGTAGCACAGGTCTTAGATTTAATATTCAATCACCTTAGATCAAATGAATTTTGATTTACATAACCCTTATTAGTAATTACATACCCCAGAACCTACCCAAAAATGGAATAAGCTATTTTTTAAGTGTCGCGTCAATGCAAAATTATTGTCAAATTTGCAAACTGTATTAATTTTTACAAATTAAGGTCTTCAATTCGTGTTAAATACTTATAAATTACATTATGTACTAATGGTACGTCCAACAATTAACTCAAAAAGCATAATACATATTCTTGTTAGTGACTACAATAAAGAGTACACATATATAGTTTTATCTTTATTTACTCTAACACATTATAAATGAAAAGAACGTTATTTCTTTTAGTTAAAACGTAAATGCCACAATTATCGTGATAAGGAATTTGAGTACACATTGTTTTACTTGTTACAAATTAATACTCATCTTTATCTGATACTCGTTACCTTAAAAAACTTATATAAAGTGAGATCTGTTCGTATCAGTTTGAACTAGAATTTAAATCCAAAGTTAATCTAATATGATAGACTTACAGAATGAAACGTTAAGGGTATTTTCCTTGCATGACAGCAGAACTATAATATAATGTACATATATACACTAGTGTAAGATACTTACTATATCTTCCACCCAAAAGCCAATCATTTTGTTCGTTACAAATCATATAAGATATAGGCAGATTTGAGAACATCGTTTCAAAGTTCTGAATAACATGTCTTTGTCAAATACTGGCTGAACATGTAGCTTTACGTGATGGCGATTTAAAAGAATATCGGGATCACCACAATGGATCGTAAACGTCAAAAGTCATGGCAATCCGTCATTGCGACTATTGTCGGGAACATGAAGCAAATACAAAGAGGAGACGGCATAAGCAACTGTGCACTGTGATTCTAAGTAGGTCCTGACGTCATCATAGTGGGCGTGGCTTTAGTTAGTATACTCTCAGCATGCGTCCTGTGTGCTTGTCTTAAAAATCACAAATCGGTGTATTTTCGTAGTATTAAGAAGAAAAGGATGAAGTGTTTTATCGTGTAAAAACTACTCAGGTAGACGCTCTGATGCTATGGATGGCATCACATTTCATCTGTAAGTAATTTTAAACACAATTTATTAAAATAGTGTGTCGGCTTTCAAATATAATGAAATATATTCGACACTAGATAGCGACACTTTGTCATGTGAACTAAAAATATAAAGGTACGTAGAGCTCAGTATTGGTAAAATAATCATACGAAGGTGCTGAAAGAAGGATGCCCATTTTTCACCTGACTATGTAGAGAAATGAAATAAATCTTAAAATTCAGCTAATTGAATTCTTAATTAAATACGCGTATCACAATGTTAAAAGAAACGCAGGAGAAAAATATTTTTAATATTTATTTATGCTTATTCTACGTCAAGGGTTAATTTATTACCACCATATTTTGAACGCATCTCAACTACCCTTTTTCTAAGACGTTCCATTTCACATACTTCGCATTTCGCTACTTGACTTAATTGAACTCTGTTTCTGTTTTAAACATTTATTTTATTTAATCAGTAAGTTTTTCTCTATATTCTTATATATATTTTTTATTACTTTTTGTATAGTACAGATTAATTAAAAATAATATAATAATTAAATAAATAAATAATGCAGTATGCCACTGAGTGCACACGAGTGAAACGGATTTTTTTGACATTAAACAGTTCTACGATTGGCATCAGCGCAGTCCTTCGTTTCTACTATTTAGTCTGTGCCTTCATTGTTGCCAAAGAGAATATAATCACTTGTTGTGTTTGCGTCTCGTTGTGTATTGTCCCATTTTGTATGTTTTTCATTGATCATATAGAATAGAAATATGTAGGGATACACCAGATTTTTCGCAGTATAATCTCAGAGGAAGTGGTGATAGAACATTAATAAGACAGAGAAAAATTTAATATTTGGTAACGGCAAATCCTAACCTAAAGAGTAACATTAATATTTTTGGGCTTCGTAGCGTTTAAATCGTAAAAATGACTACATGACATTATTTTCTAAACTTACAGAAAGTTTTTCTACTATACCTTATAACTATACATAAACTTTTACTGTCAGGTTTTTAAATGTATGAAAAGTGGGCATGGTTCTTTGTTTTGCATTCAGACATAAAGAAATTTTAATCACCAAAATATTATTTTTATAGTTTTTATAATAATTTTGTGAACAGGCCACCATCTATCGTCAAGGTAGCTGAACTACATTGCAACATCGATATGGAACGATTCAAGTAGTTTTACTATTTATCGGTAGATGTAGATAGTGTAAAGTGGGCGGGGCTTAACATCCCCTCACTCCGCAAATTGTCACGCGTTGTTACATAGTGAAATCTAATTACCTCCTCTTTGTATTTGCTTCATGGTCGGGAACCACTCCTAACACAAGCTTGCTTAGAGTGGTTAACCTTAAACATTAAGAGGGGAAGCATGTGTCCCACAATACTTTTGCTTTATTTTCGTGCTGAATATTGTGCTAACCTAATAAACAAACTACATATAAACTACCAAATAAATATTTTTAATTTAAAAAGAGTTTGGACGGTCGTCACTGCAAGTGATGTCTCACATCACTGTACGCTCGTTTTATCTCTTTATCATAGTTGCGATAATAATACTCACTTCGAGTGTTTCTGTAGTAGGCGCAACTTCGAGTGGCGATGTGACCATTCCATTTGCGGTAGGCGTTTCATGTGTAGCAGATTGCTGATTCTGTTCCGGCGATCGTCCCGCGAGCAACTTGTGGGCTTTAAGTTTCAGCTCTTTCGGGTGAGGCGTGTTTTGTCGCACAAATGGAGTCTGTGAAAATAAGATATAATTAATTTTGTTGTACAAGAACATAAATTTTATATAATTAAATACATGCACATGCGTATCTAAATTATAATGCGAAACGTAATGAGCTTTAAACAAAAATGAAATATTTCAAATAAGAAAAATGTAAATAATGTTGTCTAGTTTCATAGACAATTTTCTTCTTTCAACTAATGTCCATTATTGTAACCATTTAAAGTATATTTAGTACTTTAAAAGTTTGAATTAGATCAAAGTCTAACGTAACCTATGAGCAGTGATACTAGACATATTCTGAGGAAGGGTTTCGTGCATTTTTAAACTTTATGGTTATAAAAAGATTTCATGTAATAATTAAAGCATCCTTTAATTAGGTACGTTATAATACTTTTTTTTTGAAGATCAACTGCTATAATACCTAAGACAGATAATACTAACAGCTACCGTAAGCCAATTAAAGGTCCTCACTAGTAGATACAAAGTTGAAGTCACAACAGTGATAAACGCGATTCAACGCTAATTTCTATGAACTTTATAACGGCTGTAATAAAAGGATGCTTAAACAAAAAAGAGACTTAAAAAGCGAGACGTAGAAAATATTATAATGTATTGTTTCCATGACCTAAAAATACAGCATACATTTTTAATACAGAATATATAGTCATAGAAACGCTTAATAATCTAGCTTTTTCTTCTCAATAAATTTAAAGGATAGAACTATATAATTTAAGAAAAAAAAGGTTATTATGAATTATTATAAAAGCTTCTATAAATGAATTACGATCTGAAGACAATCACTAACAACATCTTATTATAATACACAACTTAAATAAAAGAAAAAAAGAGCAAAATATTTATACTAGCTCAGTAGTACTTGCTATTTGTAAATGATATGGTTAATGCAATAACTAAGGGTTCTATATATCAATTTGCCGATGACACCTGTATCGTTATTGCCGATCGTAGTATGGATGTAGCACAAACTGAAATGCAGGCAAGTTATGACATGCTATGCAAGTGGGCACATGATGTCGGCCTAGTGGTTAACGCTCAAAAAACAAAACACTCATCTCACAACAAAATTACCACTACACCGACTATCATTTCCCATGGCCATGAATGTCTCCACGGAATGTTTCAACACTGTACTTGTCAACCCATTGAAAATGCCAAAAATCACATATATATTGGTCTGATTATTGAGGAACGATTTTGCTGGAAAGCGCATAAAGATCACGTGTGTACAAAACTTCGCTCTGTGTTAAGTAAACTTTATGTTTTAAAATTTAAGCTACCATATAAAATACTTAGATTACTTTACATGGCTCTAGTAGATTCTGTTATAAATTATGGACTTAGCAGTTATGGAAGAACTTATGTAACGTACATACATGAAATTTACACACTACAACGCAAAATGCTTAGATTGATAGTACCTAAGCACATTAAAAATAAGTATATAGATAATGTATATAATAACCGGGGTCTTTTTAATTATTGCAAAGTCATAAATGTTTTCGATAAAGTTAAATTTAATATACTGACTGAAGTAAATAATTCAGAATACCTAGTTCTTAGAAAACGACCTGTAAATCTACGAAATATAGCTTATAAATCCAACATGTATGTACTTCCGAAAACTAAAAATTTCTATGGAGCAAGAAAGTTGGCCCATCTTGTACCTACTTTTATTAATGCCTTGCCACTAGAATTACAAAACACATACGGTAAATCAAAACTGTTTAAAAGTAAACTTAAATCATATTTGATAAATCAACCATACTTATTGTAGTAAGTACTTCATACTGGATTATTGTGATTTAATATTAATACATCTTTGTTTTTATAAGACGACTCTCTAGTGTAGATAAACCCCTAGAGGTTTATATGCTAGTAATGTACTGGATAATGTAACATAATTATGCTTAATAAATTAAAAAGAAAAAAGATAAGGTAGTAAGTTAGAAAATATTTTTAACTAAAGATTCAGAGCCGCTAAGGAACCCTATTAATGTACATACTCGAAAACTAATTCTCATTAAGCCAATTAAACGTAATATGTTATAATGTAGAGGCGAAATGATTCACAGGATATGATATCACACGCAACCTCACCTCCGCAAAGCGACGACGCGACGTGCGCTGATAGTCAACTAATCTACTGTAAGTGCAGTTCAAACAGTGATGTGAGCTCTTAAATATTTCTAGAATATACGATAGTAAACTATAAAATAGTTTAAAAATTATCTACTAACGCATATAAATAAATTAATTAAAATTATAAACGGACTAGAGAAAAATATTGTGAAAATATTAGATATATTTTAACCATAGTGATGGCAGTTTTTAAGGCAAACGATACAAAAGCAAAGCGTATAGTGTAAACTGTTATAATATTTTAGTGTTTTCCATTTTCTTTAATACTATTAAATATTTTACTACAACTACAATAGTTGCAATATGCGAATAGTATTCGCCCCTACTCCTAGGAAATGCTTTTATCCAACCAAATGATAAAAGCATTTCCTATGTAAAATTAAGTATTTTTCTGGAGAGGTGTAGTAAAAAATAAAAAACAGCTTCAATAATTAAAACGTAACAGTTTTAAGCATTACGTATTCATAAGTACTAATGCTACATGAAACTAACTTCATCGTCTAGAACATATTATCTTGAATGTTAAAATGCGAATTTCTTCGTGTTATATAATTATTAACATATTGTAAATATTGTGTGAAAATGTTTCCAGTTATTTTTCAAAATATCAATATCACCGGTACGTGGTGAACACTATAGCTCTATAATAATTCTGAACGAAGCTGTAGCGACCAACTGATGGCGAAAAATAAAATGAAACTCGAAACCCAAATTTCACAGACTGATGAAGATTTGCATCACCGGTGCGAGTTTATCGATTCTACGCACGAACTCGCCTGCTCAGCGTGGTAAGCATATAGGCAAACATTTCAAGGCAACCTTGCTTTTCGACACATAATTATAAAGGCTAAAATATAAGCACTGGATTTGAAAAGTCACACGAAATTATGTTTCCGAAATTAATCAACGAATTTGAAATGTATTTTATGAAAAACGATTTGTTTCGAATTGGAATATTTTTTTATTCATTACAGCCTGTTTAACGTCTACTGCTGAACATTGATCTCCCCTAATAATTGCCTCATAGGGGGATATTTGCTCAGTACGTTTTTGGAAACAGGACGATGCTGCTGACAATACGAAAACAACAAAATTGTTATCTTTATATATAAAAATTACGTGTCACATTGTTTGTCCGCAATGAACTCCTAAACTACTGAACTGATTTCAATAAAATTTGTGCACACTTGTGCAGTTTGGTCCAACTTGAGAGATAGGATAGTTTTTATCCCGATAAGTGACCCTCAGTAATTTTATTGCAAATTTAAGTATTTTCATAGTACAGAGCATCGCCGCTAAGGGCAGTACAACGTCTGCCTGGCCAGCTAGTATATTATATAAATTTAAGCAAGGAATAAAGAAAGAATAATAGCAAAGATTACATTTTAAGAACAATAAAAATTGAATCGCTTAAGTCTACTTTCAGCAACAACACAGCAGTTCTAAGGTATTGAAGATAACATTCAGGACCGAAGAGGCATGATTCGAGAGTAGTGGTAAATTGGAGTGCATTCACAAGATTAGTTCGTATTAGGCTTATGTATGTATTACAAGTATGTTTAACTAATGTGAATAATTTGACAATGGTAACCGTAGGTATGATTATAACAAAACAAATTAAACACAAAGTTATACATACACAATTTGGCATACCTTAATACACAGTATACAGACATACATTTACTCACACACAAACATGGTACATATTATGCACAAATGCTGGCGTATACCTCAGTCACTCATTAGCCCTTTATAACGTTCTTAAAAATAAGCAGACGTAGTATACTCGTAATTTAAAATATAATATAACTCTCTACACAGTTATTTTGATGTAGCAATGAACATAGACAGTAACAATACGAAGTATAATATTGCGAATGCACCCCACGTTTTTCCGTGTACCTCTGTGAGGTTCGTTATAGAGGAGGAGAGGCGTTGCAAGGAGCTTCTCCGTTGTGTTCCAACCAGTTTACGGACCGCGTTGAGCGGCCGTCGGAACCCTAGCATCGACTGCGGCATGAAGAAAGAATCCGAAGTTGTGGTATCTTCACTGTCCTCCGGAATCGATGGCACCTTGAAATTAAATGCAATCTGTCGAGGAAGCGATGTCCTTTGTGATACCGAAATTTAAGACGACAGCAGTAACCAAAACTATAGAAAGTTAAACAAAATGCAGTTTTATTTCTTTTGTCCCAAAAATGCTTTTAAACAATGAAATAAATTATAAGTAATATTTCTCAATCAAAAATCTTGTCATACTTATTAATGATTTAAAACAATAATAAAAACTTTAAAAATTATTATATATATGTATTGTTTTATATGACTGACAGACAGAGAATGACAACATAACATCGTCGTATTAAAATATTATTACAATATTTTTGGTATAGTGTTAAAATCTCGAATTCTTTCAAAGAGCATTAAAGCTTAAAGCTCAATGGTTTCACTTTAATTCGTTATTCGTTATATTATACGTAATTTATGGACGTTGATAGTTTGTATTCACATTAATTTAAAAAATATATTATTTTACGTAGATTTATAGATTACAGCATTATGAAATTTAACTGCACTATATAAAATAACGGGAGAATCATAGTATAGAAGTTTTTAATAAAATTATTATTATTCATTCCATTTTTACATAAAATTTCACATCGAATAAATAAATGCAAAAAATATACTTATGTAAAATGAACGCTTTAAAGTAATTATTGATTTAATTAACAAATGTTTAGTATTTATTTATATAACCTTAATATTTGAAATGCAATTTACTAGTTAATAATGAATAGAGAAATAAATTATTAATTGCTAAAAATATTTTTCTTCTTGTTTATAAAACTTGTAGTGTAATAATTAATGAAAACTCTATTATTTAAAATCATCGTATTCTTAATTTTGTTACGCCGTTATTGCAATTTTTATAAATTAAAATACTTTATTACGCAGATTTAGGTTGGTGTTATTGGTTTAATCTTTTCACTGTCCCGTGTACACATATAGGCATATAATAAATAATAGTACATATAGGTCATTGCTACTGTCTTACTATTGTGTCTGAAACTAGAAGAGTAAGTGTTAAGTTTGTCCTGCAGACCTCTTACATGCATCATAAGGATACACATCACATTACACACATAAAAATACACAAACAACTCACGACAAACGTAAACATACAGTTATTTTAAAGGACAACATACAAAGGTCACCGATACACTGCTTACACGAACATTTATTTGAGGTGAATTATTTATTAAACAGCGCACACACTGAAACTATCAATATTTACATCAAGTTTAAGTAATACGTACATAAAATAATAATTCCATTTAGCAAAATTCATGTTTGTATTGTACCCCCACTTGTTTGTGCTAAAGTACAAATGTACTAATAATGGAGTAAGGAATGCGAACAGTAACGAACGGCATAAAAGAATAATAAAACTATAAAAACAAAAAATGTCGAAGCTTATTTTGTCAATTTATATAATAACAAACATCCTGCCTGCTTTTTATTAATTCTAGATCAATAAAAGAGTAATTCATTTATTCGTCACTAGTAAAATAAAATAAAAAAACCGACCAAGTGCGTGTCGGGCCATGCACAGTGTAAAGGTAGGGTTCCGGAGTTGCCTGTCATAATAAGGGTCTCCTTAATAATAAAAAATACCCCCAATATTTTTGAAAGACCAATCTAACGACACCCCACACGATAGAATAGACGAGTAAAAAATCACCAGTATAGATTACATCAAATCAATATATTATAGGTACCTAAAATAAAAACGTTTTTCAAGATTTTATTATTTCACAACTTTGTAGACGTGATTAATATCAACAACTATGCCATTAAATTACAGCTTTGTAGCACCTATGGTCTCTGAGTAAAATCGTGACGAAATTATAATGGACGTGGCGAAACTATAATGGTCTTTGTTGTTTAACTACGGAACCCTAAAAACTCCTAGACTTCTTTTCGCCTGATGAACTGACAATATGGATGTACCTTAAATAAAGCTTGATGTAATTTTTAAAATCTTCAGTTAAAAAAAATATTTTTTTTACCATTCAGTCGTTTTCTTTATCAGTCAGTCATTTTGTTTTCCGTTCAGTCATTTAGCCACAACACTATTTTTGATTCATCAAAACCTGATAACCCAGTAAACGTCAGGCAGCTTCATTAATTAAAAATACGACTTTAGTATAGTATGTGCGCTTACATTTTTAAATTACAAATTAAAGGTTAACAAAAAATTTCTTAATAAAATTATTTGTGTTAATTTGCATTATTATGAAACAATTAGTAAAGCGTAAAACATTAAAAATCACAATATTAAAGTGAACTGTAACAAAACATAAAATATAAAATAAAACAAGAAGAATTTAATATATTTTATTAATTAACAAATTATAAAATAAATAATACTGTTCGAATAAAAATTGTCACAATATAGATAGAATCTATCACTGTACAATAAAAAAAAAATCTATAATATATTGCATTGAATTACAATGTGACTGCAATTGTGTAGAAAATCTTACTCTAATGCATCAAGAATAGAGCTCATAGCTAAATAAGCTCGGTGCCTCGAACATATGCCGCACACATTGCTTCTAAACCAAGATTTTGCCTTTCGACATCTATCTCTTACACGAATACTAAAATTGTGTAAACCTACAGGCATGTCGTATCGCATAGCATTATGTGTATTTTGTGTAAAGCGACAATTTATAGCAGGCTGCTTTAAAAGTCTAAACAAGTTACAACAGCATAGCCTCACCTCTCTGGCTTCTGATACGTCTTCTGTGAACTTGACAGAATGCGTCCGCGACGCTTCTTTCTCTTCCCAATCGTCGTCAGAATCTCGATCACGAGATACGCTTGATTCTGTTGAAGAGCAAAGACGTTATACTACAATATAACAACGTGCTTCATATGAGGACTGTAATATAATACCTAATCGTGTAATGACGGTGGAAGTATATCAGCTAACCTATATCATCCGTGGGTGTCGTAAGAGGCGACAGAGGGAAGAAAATAATAATCTGTGGTTACCAACCCAAGGCGCAGCAACTGTGATAAATAATCCTAATATATGGGGGCAATCTATGGGGAGGCAAGGCAAGGCGTAGTGAAGAGTGCACGCCTTGCAATACATAACGCAGTGTTGGTACCGACTTTGTTATATGGCAGCGAAACCTGGGTATGCCAGAAGAAGCATAAAAGTAAGTTGAATGCAGTGGAGATGCGATCTCTTCGTAAAATGTGCGGCGTTACCATGGCCGACCGAAAGCGAAACGAAGAGATTCGCAATATGGCAGGTTTGAAAGATGACCTTATCACAAAAATTGATAAGGGCGTGCTTCGGTGGTTTGGGCACGTTGAGCGAATGAGTGAAGACCGAATGGTGAAGAAAATATATAGCGCGACAGTTAATATTAAAAGGTGTCGAGGTAGACCGAGACTAACTTTCGAAGACCATGTGAGCAAATTGCTCGAAGAGGGTAGGGTCAAGAGTACTCGGATACCTAGACGTGCATGTGTGAAGAAGATAATGAATCTGAAAGAAGCGAAAGAGGTATGTAAGGATCGCGACACTTGGCGATCTGTTCTCTCTGGCTACCCCGTCAGGGATTGTGCGTGAAGATAAGCAATCTATGGGGAGGCGTATATTCAGCAGTGGACTTTTATATGCCGTAATAAATGAATGACTTAATAGCTAAATTTCACCGACTTTAAGGGAATTGCAACTCAGATGCGAGGTTTACGTAAATTATACTATATAGATAATAAACCTGAAAAGCGTAGCAATTTTGTAGAATGTTATGTCGTAGTGAACTGTATAAAATGTTAATGACAAAAAAAATAAATAGTACACATTAATTTTTAATATTTTTATAGATGTGATGTTTTTATATACAGTGGGGAATAACAAATATTTAATTGTTTACGCCGTGTGAGGACGACATAAGAGGAACCATCACCCCATTTTCTGAACCTGTGAGTGTTGTAAGAGAGGCGATTTAGGGAATGTTCCAGAAGACCCTCAATGGATGAGCCAAGCGTAGCAGCGATGGTAAAAATCGCCCTTATGACCTATGAGCCAATCTATGGGAGAGGTCTCTGTTTAGCGGTGGACTGTAATAGGCTGTTATGGGCGGATTGTGAAACCTACCGCCATCAATACTTTGCCTGCCAAGCGGCCCATGTTGGTCAATACACTATTTATAGCCTAGAGAAGAAAAAGACATTAATACACATTCTAAATAATAAATACGTAGAGACATAGTAACAATGCTGATAAAGCAGACAAAACACAAGCATTAAACAATTTAATATGTTTACCCAGTAAACAACAAGTCTTACATTTATAAAATTGACATCACTTGAAGCCTGCAGAAACTGCATCTTATTATCAGTGGTCCGAGAGCTCAGGACGCATTTTTCATGAAGTGTTTGATGCATCATGAAACTTTGCTGAAAAGTAACAGGCCTCTCAATAAGCAGGTATATGACTGTCTGCCTGGCCTACCTGGGTACACCTGGTAAGTGGCGCATACAGGTAAGTCGCAAAAAAATTTGCCCAAAAAAAGTGTTTCATTCAAATAATAATGATGACTATCCGTCAGCGTCAATAAGTTTATAAAGAACTAGAAAAAAAAAGGCAGACACTTCTGAAGGGGTTTACATAGGGGCAGACTACCCCAAAGTTGTATTTTCAAAAATTCCAAAAAAGTGTTTGATTCAGTCTGCCATTGTTACAGCGTGTTTATTATATATAATCATTTAAAAATCATATAAATAAATAAAATTGAAGTGTCTGTTCAGTGTAAAAATAACTGCTTTTTACTAAACGCATATGAAATTATATACGGTATTTATAACAAAAACACAATTTTTAAAATATTTATATATTTAAATATATTATATATATTATTAGATGAAAATTTCAAGAAGTAGATAAAGATGAAGTTTACTCAAATGCATAACAATACTTACACCTAATGGTTGTAAGGTAGTAATTGTAGGGTTGATGAAAGTGAGAATTTTTTATTATATATAATAACTAGCTGTGCCCCGCGGTTTCACCCGCGTATATCACGCGTCTGCGCCTTGCGACATGCGAACTTCGAGAGAGACATCACGACGGACGGTTGCTGAATTAACAAAGATTTAAAAAGTGAAATATATTACTAAAATTACATGGGTAACGTAATTGGTGGTTATGCATGATACAGGTACTGATACGAATAATGTGACCTATTTTGTACCGGCGTTACTATTTCACATTTTAACATGAAAAAGTAGTTATTGTGACATAACTGTAATTGTTAAACATATGGTATCGCAGACTTTTTTGTAGATATTGATATCTTCTATAAAACTGAAGTACATTTTTTGCTCTATTATCAATAGTTTCCGCAGCCTACGCGATATAAGGATTCTTTTTGGTATTTTTTTCACACCTTGGGTTACATTAACGAAATTTTCATACGGATCCCTAACTTTTTTGAAAATATTATATAGACTATGTTCATCAGGGATAATGTAGGAATCTAATGGTGAAAGAATTTTTCAAATCGGTGCAGTAGTTTCGGAGGCTATTCAATTCAAACAAACAAACAAATCTTTCCTCTTTATAATAGTATAAGTGAAGAAAAACACGCTGTTAATTCTTTATCAACATTGCTGACGGATAGTCATTATTATTATTGGAATCAAACACTTTTTTCACATATCGGCTACCGTCGCACTCATTACAACCCGTAGCACATTTGTCTCCTGTCCACGCAAGATTTATTTTAATACTAGCTGTCCCCGCGACCTTGCCCGCGTGTAATTTAAGGTTTTATTTTTTTGCGCGGAACCCTAATAATTTTTCTAAAATAAAAGTTACTCGTTATAACATCAACTATCTGCCAGTGAAATTTCCGTGAAAATCGGTCCAGCCATTTCGGAGATTAGCCTAAACAAACAGACAGACAAAAATTTAAAAAATTGTGTTTTTGTCATAAATACCGTATATAATTTCATGTGTTTAGTAAAAAGCAGTTATTTTTATACACAACAGACACTCCAATTTTATTTATTTATATAGATTTTTAAATTATTAACCCCCGTAGAAACTGTCTGCCCTTTTGTGATATTTTTATTATATATAATGAACACGCTGTAAAAATGGCAGACTGAATCAAACACTTTTTTGGAATTTTTGAAAATACAACTTTGGGGTAGTCTGCCCCTATGTAAACCCCTTCAGAAGTGTCTGCCATTTTTTTTTTCTAGTTCTTTATAAACTTAGCTGACGGATTGTCATTATTATTATTTGAATCAAACACTTTTTTTTGGGCAAATTTTTTTGCGACTTACCTGTATGCGCCACTTACCAGGTGTACCCAGGTAGGCCAGGCAGACAGTCATATACCTGCTTATTGAGAGGCTTGTTACTTTTCAACAAAGTTTCATGATCCATCAAACACTGCATGAAAAATGCGTCGTGAGCTCTCGGACCACAGTAACTTCCAGCTGAATTAGCACCTTAAGTAGTTTCCATAAACCAATTTCACAAATATAAAACAAGAGACTTCCAAGAGATTCTAGCGGCAGTAACTGAGAGTTCAGTGTAAATTAACATAGCAAGTTATTATCGGCTATTTTGTTTAGTATTTCAAACAAGTAATAAAATATAATGCTTGAGTAATAAAATATTATGTCTATATGATCATAATCCGAGCTAACAGAAAATGTAAATAATTTCAATTTTTTCGGAAATTGATTGAAAATACTTGAGATAATATAGCTGACTAATGACGTGAAGGGAATTTTAATTAGTAGTGACTTTTTATGAGTAACTTTTTGTTTGATATGTTTGCAATGAACATTCAAAATCCATAATAACTTATTCATCAGCTTATTAAAATGAGACTTAAATGTATTTCATACTTTGTGATTTGAATTGCACACTGGCTAATAAATTAAATAACTAATACATTGAAGAAACACCGAATTGTTGCACAGTAATTTTATATCTAGATACTCACCTAAGGAAACCACTCCAAAAAGTTTAAAATGCTGCAATGTGCTCAATATAAAACAAGTGCAATAAATAATGTGCTCTATAAAGTAATTTTTAAAGTAATTGCTAGGTCTATCATCTAAATAAAAAATAAATGATTACTAAGCATATCATAGCAGCTAGTGCATTTATGTGCAACGCGGTAATTCGCGTGTGTTATACCAGTCTTATGTTATGATAAACAAGATGTATTACTTATTTATACAATACTTTATATAACCAACGTCTAATGTACTGTTTGATGACTTTAACACCGAATACTAAAGTTTTCGTTTGTCGTTATATTACATATAAGTACGTGAAACTTACCTCTTATCCTATCTAGCTCTTGTGACTGTGAATTAAATCTGTGATCCCTGAACCAGGTTACACTGCCGACCTCTGATGTGTGATCCAACTCTATTTGTGGTGTGACATGTTTGGAAAGTATTTTTAGTATATTTACACGGCAAAAACAAAAACAAATTTAGTCATGGCTGCTTGCGAAATGTACGTTGTATTGTATACTTTAGTTCTAGTAAATATTTAGTTAGAAAAAAAAAACTTTACAATTATGTACGTCTCATAAACAGCCACCGGCACACGCATAATAAAACAGAAGCAAACAAGCTTAATGGACATAATATACAATCATAACAAAATGTAACATGTACAAAATAAACAACATTCAGCATACTGTATTCAATAACAGATTTTATCGCTGTTGTGTGGTGACTCTGGATTTATTATTTGAAGATATTTTTAAGTATAGCCTCACTTCCTGTATATATGAATAAAATGCACTTTAAGGTACAAATAGTTCAAATTTTACTTAGTTAAGACGTAACTTTTGAACGTTACTTGGTTGATCGGTATAATGCGATGCAACGTAAGACCGCCATACTAAGCTTAGCAGTTCATATTAAACAATTGAGTACAATAATATAGGTCTTTTATAATCATATTTTTTTTTAAATAAAATATACCTACTATTGTAAAAGATACCTGCGGTGTTTATTCCAGTTTCTTCACCGGTCAGAGGAACCTCTAATTTAAAAAGGTAGTAAAATAAAATAAAACGTTTGATAAACGAAATTTTTCCAATAATGCAATAGTATTCACAATCAAATTTTATAATTGCATAACAATAAAATTTATTTAAAATGAGAGTACTGCTTAAAAATTATTATACATAGATTGATTGTGTTCCAAAAGTAACTTTAAATTCGCAATTCCAAAGTAGTGGTTTCAATATTATGTAGTACTAAACAAGGCATTTCTCTAATTGTTTCCTATAATGTCCGGTGGAAGGCGTTAGCGTCTGTAATAGTTTTTACCATAAAACTAGTACAGCTGCTAACGATCAACCATATCTTACTAGTAAGTTGCCAAAAAATCAAAACGACTACTGTAATAGTTTAAGATACCCTGCATGTAAACAAAGTGAATAAATAAATTCATTTATTATTATTATTATTAATTAAAAAATCAAATAAAAAATATTGAAATTTGTCAGTTTGTTGCACAAAAAAGTTACATATAATTTTCCTACATTGTTATATTTAATTTGTTCTAATAAATGTGTAACGCCAGCCACCAAATCCAAAACGTGAATGTTTATAGTGCCCAAATGAAAGCAAATCTTATCAGTATGCTAAATGGAGTCTTTGTAATTTCTTGACGATTTTGTTTGTAAATTTGCAATTTTTTTTGTACAAACAAAAGTAGTACTTTTGCACATAATATAAAAATATGAATAAATTTCTATTACAAAACGTTATATTATATATTATATAAAAGAAACAAAATCGTTATGTGAAAAATTGAGACACCAACAGCAAACAATAAATAGAAAGCCTTAAACATAATTTTTCTTGTGTGCGTACCCGGCTGCTGCGTGTAACTGAGCTGCGGCAAGAGGAAGCAAGTGAGAACATTCTCCCCCGTCGTTTCGTCTCTGTCGGTTTGAAAGGTCAATAGAGGTTGCGCTTGGTTTTCTGACAGCCACACTGCTTTGAGTTCCAAGTTGACGAGTGTGTATGGCAGATACTGTAACCTAGAATTATTTATTATTTGTAATTATTTTAGTAAAGACTATGTTTTAAGGGAACTTCAAGGATCTAAATAAGGTAAATGCCCGGAAGTTCGATATTTTAAATATCAAAAATGTCTTAACCAGTAACATACTAAGGCGTCAAATGTGGGATTAAGGACACGTCTTCCCTCGATGACTCTTCTTGGGAGAAGTCTATATCTAGCAATGGACATAGGACATACGCAGCCAAATATGATGGATCATAACGTTGAACCATAAAAAGTAACTAAAAGTAATTCAATCAAAACCCAGCAAATAAATTAATTTAAAGGCTAAGCACGTCAATCCACAATTCACTAATTTGTATTTTAACCAATAACAAAATAAAAAAATGCTAATAGTATATAGTCAAAAAAATTATGCAAATACATAGAAACAATTAAAATATAAATAATAAATTTTAATGAGGCTGCCACAGCTGTGTTTATGAAGGTTGGATTTTTTTAGGCTTACTAAATAAAGATAACAAATATCGTACATTTAAAACATAAAAGGCCATAGTTTTTGAAAAAACAATTATATCACAATGAATCGTTGACTCCAAAAACGGGATAATACGTGCCAATCATATCATTCGAAATATTTTTACAAGCTATTTAAAGAATTCTATTAATGGAAAGTTTATGAATATAAATACTAAACATGTAATTAAACTTACAACAGAAAAACCAATAAAGTTTTGAGACACAACTCAAAGTAGCAAATTATTGGTTAAAACATAAATTAGTGAATTGTGGGTTGAAGTGCTTGTCCTTAAGTTTCCGATACAGCAGCATCCTGGTACACGAAGTTTCTGTTTTAGTGCGTACACTTGTGGCAACATAATATTTCCTTTGCAATTGATGATTCCGATATTATTCGGAAGTTGTATACATTATAGTCGAAATCGGCAAGAAGAACATCAAAATAATTATCCCGAAAATCAATAATTGGTTATTTTTACACAGACGAAGGCCCCTCAGCGTTTTACATTACAAAATAAACAAAGTTTAAACAACATACCTGTTACCGCTTACATCGAGAACGTGCAGTGATTTACAGTTGCCTAGTTCATTTGGCAGCTTGGTCAACTTGTTGTCTCTCAAGCTCAGGACACCAAGCAATGTCATATTGCCTATCTCTACAGGTATTTCGGCTAAAGAATTCCTGTCCACATTCAATACAGTCAGCTCGTTGAGATTCCCTATCGACTTTGGTAGTTCCATTAAAAAATTCTCCGTTAATACAAGCTCTTGTAGGTTTGTGCATCTGTAAACACAATAAATAAAATTAGACCCGATGGTTTTCTTTAAAAAAATAAAAAAATATGATTAGATTCAGTAGATTCTGTTGTAATGTTTAAGTAATAAAAGAGCTAACAATCAACGTGATATTGGCAACAGCACCACATGGGCAACTAAAAAGAACTTCATACAAAGAAGGCTACATATGAGTTGTCGCCCTGAGGATTAAAATCAAATACCTCGCAGCTTGTAATAATACGAGGGTGACACTGAAAGTTCTTAGAAAATCAAAAACTGAACAAACTAGCAAGTTGCTAGTTTTATTATATCTTTTCAAAATAGTGTCCATTTACATCAATACATTGCTGCATCCGATGGAAACACTGAGAAAAGCACTTTGGCCACTCGTCCTTATCTTCGGCGGCATTTTGAAACGCAGTCACTGCTTCCTCGGCGTCCATAAAATGTTTCCCAGGAGATTTTTCTTTTATTTTCGGAAATAAAGAAAAATCGCAAGGTGCGAGGTCGGGGCTTTAGGGCGGGTGACCCGGTAATTCCACGTCTGACGTCGCCAAGTAGTCGATTGTTTGCTTGGCGGTGTGCGATTAGGCGTTGTCGTGGTGAAGGAGGATCCTACTGCGAGGTCGTTTCTCCCGAAATTTTTCCAAGACATGTGGCAAGCAATTGTTAGTGTACCACTATGCAGTAACTGTTTTTCGATCCTCTAAAACAATTTTCTGCCGACTTCCAAAAAGGAGCCGGTACTCAATTCGACTGTATGTTTTTTTTTTTCGTTTTTTTTTTTATGTGTGTTACCTCAGAACTTTTTTTTGGGTGAACCGATTTCGATGATTCTTTTTTTATTTGAAAGCTGGTACTTCTCGTGTGGTCCCATATGAATTTGATCAAGGTCAGACCAATAGTTTTTAAGTTATTCTTAAATAACTTATATTGAAGTCGGCTGTGCAAAATTTTTAATTTTAAATTATTGGTTAATGACCTGTTCTTCCGAAGAACGAGGCCACCATCTTTTTCTCCACGCTTCGACCTCTCTTCACTTTAGTTGGCAACTTCTCGGAAGGAAACACCCAGACAGCAGACTGTCTCTTAGTTTCAGGATCATAACAATAAATCCAGCTTTCGTCACCCTAAGTATGTCGAACACAGCCTTTGAGTCACCTCCGTTAAATCTTTGAACCATTTCACGACACCAATCAACACGACGAAGTTTTTGGGCCTCTGTCAATGGATACCTCATAGTATCCATTTTGTGTACTTGACTCATGCCGATGCCTAAACATGTCTGAATCTGCTGATAAGTCACTCTTTTGTCAGTCTCTATCACTCTATCATACGCCGCACAACACTGTTGTTATCTTCAGTCGTCGCCGTAGAAGGCCTTCCCTCACGCAGATCATCGGTGAGATTAGTGCGACCACGTTTAAACTATTTAAACTAGTGGCACGAGATGGGGCTTCATCGTGAAAGGCCAATCGAAGTCTATCATAACTTTCTTGTTGACTTAAATGATATCGAGAGTCGTAAAAAATCATTGTACGAAAATTTACTTGCGTTATATTCATGCTGACGTGACACAGACAATTTTCAATTTGCCGCCAAATCGTAAACAAATAATAAATTAATAAAATACGTACACAATAATATTGACAAAGAGTTCCATTTTCAATATTTGAACTTATAATATATAACTTTTTTTATTATATCGTTTACAAGTGGCCAGTTCTAAAACCTTTCAGTGTCGCCCTCGTATAGCAGTGGTTGCACTGCTGCTTGGCAGCAGAAATAGGTAATAAGATAGGAGAAAGAAGCTTGCCAAGCGTGGCTTATATCCCAATAAGCCACGCTTGGCAAGCAGATTAACAACTGCAGATTTTTTATTATTCAGCTGTTATCAGGAAGATGCTGCTGTCCATGTTCTGGTTCATTCCTCTTGTCTGTATAGATATTATTTTGCAGACATTAAATGGTGTAATAATATCCTTAAGCGAGAATAAAAAAATTTTGTTATACATTTCTTTATATATTTTTAATGAGTCAAAAGTATCTGAATTCGAGATTTTTCAAACTTTAAAAATTCATAACTCCGAAAATATTAACTTTATCGTAAAAAGTTAGGGTCTTTTTGGAACAAAATTCCTTATCGGACTGTACGAATTTGGCGGATGGGGCTAGGCGAAAGAAATGTAAGATTTTTCCGTCAAGACCCCTTCTGACGTAGTGTAGACGGCCATGGCGGCTATAAGGAAGCGAAATGGAATATTATCCATCTCCTTCGCACTTTATCTTGCCATGAAAGAAATATTATTTTATTTATATGATGCTTCATTTTAATAGACCCTAGTGATTCATTTATTTGGATTTCTTAATGAAAATTTTTTTAAAATTTGTTTTCTATCAAAGTATATAAAAATACTTTTATATTTTATTCTTTTTCTTTATATATTTTTAATGAGACAAAAGTATATCCGAATTTGAGATTTTTCAAACATTTAAAAATTCATAGCTCCGAAAATCATGACAACATGCATTTATATCATCATTAGGACAATTTGAAAAAATTGAGGTGGAATAGTTTTCGATGCTTATGCGCCCATTCCTCCTGGACTAAAAACTGTATTGTCTTATATAATTTGTTCCCAACATATACATACTTAAAAAACTGTGTGTAGAGAAAAAATACCAACCTCCCAACATTTTCGTTTAATGTATGCAATCGATTCTGGTCCAACTTAAGTATAGTCAACTTAGACAGATCTCCGATACCGTCCGGTACAGTTTCGAGCATGTTTTGCGACAGATGCAAATCGGTCAAAGAGCAAAGACCTCCGATTTTCTCCGGAAGTTTCTCTAACTTGTTTTCACTGACGTCCAAACAAACGAGCGCCTTCAAGTTGCCTATCTCCGGGGGTAAATATTGCAGTTTATTATGGTCCAACCAAAGCTCTTCAAGTGCTGGCAATTCGCCTATGAATCCTGGCTGAAAAGCAAACATATTATCTTTATTGATGTCGTCATAAGTTTTGAATTCTGTTTCGTAAATCGCAACCAAAGACAATTGGTTACGAGTTTAAACTTTCAACAACCATTCTTATTATTATATCGTCGTGAGAATGAAGGAAATAAAAAGCTGTCTTTATGACGGCCTCACTGGATTTAAATTTGCATCATTCTCACGTAAGGTAGTTCTATGAAAAGGCTATATATTATGTTCATTGTTGTCGCTTACGCTAATTCATACTATGTCATTATTTCTTATCATGACCTCTACCCGCTTCCCGCCGTCTGAACGCTTAGATTTTTTAAACTAAGCAACGCATTTTGAGCAGTTTCCGTCAATAGACACAATGATTCAAAAGAAAGGTTTATATGTATAATACATGTATATTATATAATTCTCCTGTCCGTGTGAAAGTGACTGGACTCCTTAACGGCTGGACCGATTTTGATTAAAATTTGTGTGTGATTAAATTGATTAGAGAATGGTTTAGATTCAAAATTGAACCCAGTAGGTGGCGTTTTTGTCGAGATCCGGAAGTCAACCGTGCGAAGCCGATCGATCCGAAATCGGCCGATCGCCGAATCGATAGTTGTGTATAAATTGATTATGAAAACCAGTTATATAGTCCACAGCTTAGGCTTAAATGCATTACTTTTACGACAAGACACCGTTTATCTACTTAGATTTAACTACAGCGCTTTAAGCACTAATATATTAAGGTATTATTACGGTTTTCATCACTGCCTTATTAGTAGTAAGTTATTACTGATGCTATTCTGCCAGAGCTCAGCACACACACACACACACAGTGAAGCTTGCCAACTCAAAGTAAAGCATCTGGGCCACGACAAGGCGGGAATTCGTTGGGGTTGAAAAAGCCACACCTAAGCCAAACATGTCTGGCTTTAAACGAACATTTGGATACTGTATTCAATTTCAACTTAAACCGAGATTTTTACAACTAATACAAATTAATGTTGTAGTTTTATTTGATATGTTATAATTATAGCAGTATCTCTTCTCTGACACTTCAATTAAGCCTATACTTTCAATCAATTCTTTCTAAATGAAATACGCGATTGTAACAAGTGAAATTAATGCAAAATTTAAATTTGTAGCTAACACCGATAATAACAAACACCTTTGTCATATAGAATAGAGCCATGCTGCAGCTATATTAGTAGTATAGTTATAGCACGAATGGGTCGGCTCGACCGGGGAAGGACCACGCTCTCACAGAATACCAGCGTAAAATAGCAGCTTAACACTGCTGTGTTTCGTATGGTGAGTGTAGAGAGCTGGAGACCCTTTTTGCTGGAAAAGGGGCATTCCATCTTAATCCTCATGGGTGACAACGCATCTGCATTTTGATACTTTATTGAGGATAGATGGAGATGTCTATAGGTCACAGCAACCACTTACCATCAGGTGGACTGTGTGCTCGTTTGTCACCCTATCCTATAAAAAAAATGCCAGATGACATGTACCCAGTTCGGCCGCGAGGATCAAAGTCAAAAGACATCAGGTACAACGATCACAAATTCTGGCGAACGCAACGAGTACGGCAAATCCTACTTACAATGTAGGAGGCCGATGGTCCAGCAGTGGAGTGTTACGGGCTGATAAAGAAAGTGAAAGATGCATTTAATATAGGAGATAATCTGCACAACGCAATCTCGCTTATCACGTATCTCTAAAGTCCTATATGGCTACTTTCATTCAACATACATACATGAAAACATAAACTTACCAGCTCCTCTATCTCGTTGTCACCCAAATCTAGTCTCTCTAACTTTGTTAGGTTTTTTAGTGATTCCGGTAGTGATTTGAGTAAGTTTTCTCTCAGCTCAAGGGACTGCAATGATATCAGGCTGAAAATAAAAATAAGTCCATATATCAAACTGCTCATGAAATAGAAAAGTAACTTTGTTAATGTCTTCGACGATATTACATAAAATAATTTTAATGTAATAAACCTAAATGCATATTAATAAAACTTCAAACCGTGTTTTATACTAAAACATCGATAAAAATATCGACGCTTAATAAATTGATCATGACAAGTCTAATTACTCTATGCTCGCAAGTAAATTACCCGGACCGATTTACCTAAGAGACTCTGGTAGGACGTATTATTTATTAAAGGAAACCTTAAGACTCTAAGCTAAACTTTCTGATAATGACACAAATACATATGAGTGATTTATTAACCCACAACTCTCGACTTAATAAGTCAGGCAATCCAATTACAGAAGTACGGTGCGTGATGTATCTTGCTGACTAAATAAGATTCCATGAACTACTTACATACATACATTAAACACTTACGCCTGTCACCCAGAGGGGTAGGCAGAGATTACGGACTTCCATTTGGCACGATCCTGACACACCTTTCTCGCCTCCTTTACATTCTTATACCTACGCATACATGCTCGTCAGTTAAGAGTACTCTTATTATGGCCCATTTTCAATATATCGCCTATTTGACCGATCAATTTTCGTCTAGGGCGTCCTTTCCAGACTCTGCCGTTCACTTCTGCTTCATAAATTTACTTTATCATTCTTTCCTCGTTCATTATTTCTATATGGCCAAACCAAAAAAGCATTCTTAATCCTGGTCACAACACAATCTTCAGCAAACCACACTTTTCTCTTATTACATAATTTCTCACCCTATCATTCAGATTCAGCCCTAACATACTCCTTAATGATCACATTTCTACAGCATTTATTCTACTCTCGTGCTTCTTCTGCCACACCCAACTTTCACTACCATAGATTAGAGTGGGGACTAACAGAGCATTGTGAATTGCCACACGTGCCTTTTCTTGACTCCTCACAATAGAGTGAAGATCCCTATTTACTCCATTTCCTGCGTTCACTCGTCCTTCTATATCCTTATCATATCTACCATCCCTGCTAAAAACACATCCCGCATACACAAACTCATCCACTTGCTCCACCAACTCCCCTTATTTTCTTATTTCAGAAATCGTTTTACTTTCTTCTTTTTCAAAAACCATCACTTTTGTCTTACTTGCGTTCACTTTAATTCCCCTTTCTTTTAATGACCTGCTCATTAATGTCAACGATGCCGCCGACGACATAAATATGACTTGATCCTTGGCGTACAAAAGGCATTTACACCTAACTCACCCATTCTTAACCCACATTCTTCACCTTGTAATGTAAGGTAAACCACGGGGAAGCTACACTGCCCTGTCTGACACCTCTATGGATGCCAAACCACTCCGAGTATGCCCCGTTGATCCTGACACAAGCACTAGAGTCCCTATAAAGAGACTTTAATGCCTATATCAACCCAGCGCTTCATAACACTTCCCTGTCCATGAACGCACAAAAAACTTTATGGTTTTTGGCCAGAAATTTCTCCGCGATCATGCGCATGAAAAAAACTTGATCCGTACATCCCATTCCCTTTCTAAATCCAGCTTGCACATCCCAAATTTTTCCATCAGTTTCCTTCACAACTCTTTCAATTAACACCTTAGCACATAGTTTTCCCACAATGCTCAGTAGGTGATACCACGGTAGTTTTTAAAGTCCTGCTGTCACTCTTTTCCCTTATATATTGGGACTATAACGGCTTTACACCAGTATCCAGGTACCTGCTTCAGTTCCCAACATAAATTGAACAAAGTGTACAGCAGGCCTGCCACCACTCCTTCTTCAGCCCATAGCATTTCGAGAAATACTCTATCATATCTAGCTGCCTTACTGGCTTTCATGCTTTTCATTGGTTTCATTATTTCTTCTATACTTATCTTCCTATATACTCTTTCCTCTTCTTTCGAAATTTCTCGTTTATTTAATTCAAATGTCTCCTCACTCATAAACACGCTTTCAAAGTATTCATTCCATCTCTTTAGACTAGAAACTTCGTCATTCAGAATACAGCCATTCTCGTCTCGTATTGCATTTATTCTAGGCTGTTTTGAATTTCCCCTGGCAGTTATTTTCTATCTCTTTTTCCTTTCAACTACTCCTTTCACTCTCTTATTTAGACGTCTAAAGACTACCTTTTTTCTTTCAATATCATCATTCATACCGCCAGAATTACCAGCCATCGATGAACTAATTGATGGCGGAAAATCCATTCAAAACGAAACATAGCAGACCTAGATTATAAGAAGCAGATACATCAGCTTTGAATACATATGTACAAAAGGTTTTAGAAAGGTTTACTGTTTTTCATTAAATTTAGACGCTACACAGCTGCTTTGTTTCTGTTTTTATCACCGTTATCTTTAATAAACTGCAAGTTTCCCCAGACAAAAGATTTTGTTTGTTTTAATTTAAGCTATACTTGTGATTTTAAAACTGAAGCTTGTAGTTGAAGTACCTTCATTGTAAAGGCAACAACAGTTATGTGAATGTAAATATATTATTCCTTTTCCTATTCCTTTGTTTTGATTAATTAGTTCAATTTCTGTTATAGCAGCAATTGCATTATTAAAGCAACTTATTAACTAACACTGTAACAAGGACAAGTTAAAATTATATCGTTACATGAATAAAGTCTAGTTAGAAACGGCGAAACCTTACAGTTCTCTTCGTCGGGATAAATGAGGCCAAGAAAATGTAAGATATGTATTTAACTTCATAGTAATGTTTTCCAAACACAAAGAAAAACAATTTCAAATGATATAAACTTCAATTCAATGTTTGAAAGTTCAGTCTAAATTAATAAGATAACCAAAAATCGTGTGATGTTTTCAGGTAACGAAAAAATTTATCAAAGGTACTGTAAGGACTCTGAAATCTTTTTTAATGACGGACGTAATACTTATTAAAGGATTTTATTCAAAAGATATACTCAACATCAGATGCTATGAGTTCTTGCCAACGTAGAAGTAAATTATGAAACCGCCTTTCCAAAAACCTAGGATTGTGAATTAAAAAACTTTTGTACCTCAATTCCTAAAATGAAGACGGTAATCTAATCATTTGGTGGCTAAATTTTACCCAGATCACTGAACAAATTATAACGGTAGTACAGTTGCTCTGTCAAATGCGGTGAATGAGACAGTACTTCAAAATACAATCCCAACGTTTCAAGACGTGTCTCTTTTGCTATGTAAGGGCCCATCTTTATCACGTAGTAATATAACTCGGTTTAGCGATGGCCTTTGAGCTAAGGTGCCAAATTTCGTAGCTGGGTTCAATAAATGGAGGCAGTCAATCACGTTGCCAATATGGACAAATACAACATCCAAATATTCAATCCCAATTCTCAATGATAACATTACGTTATCTAACCAGTCGGACAGACCACTACGGAAGGGAAGTTAGTTGTATAGAAGTCGAGTTGCTGCAGGCAGTGATCCACGCCGAGTAATGTAGTGGGAATCCTATACTTTTAACGATTTTTGTACTTTGACCAGTGTCAGTTGTCCACAGACGACAGGAGTCTGTCCACAGCTGAGGTCCCATTTCACGTATATTGTCCATTCACATATACTTTGGTTAGTTTCTACAATTACATGCAATCGACCAAGATCTAGGTCAGTTGGTGTAATCGATCTCAGCTTATGCTGTATTTCGCTTTGACGTTAACTATAATTTACTAAAGTATGTCCAATATAAACCCTTTATCCACCACTATACCAAACATTCTAGAAAAGTTAAGAGGTTTTGTAGAACTAAGTAATATATTTCATACACCACACTAAGTAATATATTTTAATGATTGCTTGAAAACACTTTAATATTTTTAAAACTAACAAACTATGCAGTTTTAAAAAATTCCCGCGAAACTTTTTTTTAATAGGATAGGGTGACTAACGAGCATACCGTCCTCCACATGGTAAGTGATTGCTGTGAGCCATAGACATCTACATCTATTCTCAATAAATAATCAAAATGCAGATGCGTTGTCACCCGTGAGAACTAAGATGGAATGCCTCGTTTCCAGTAAAAAGGGTCTCTGGTTCTCTACACTCACCATATGAAAGAGAGCAGTGATAAGGTGCTATTTTACGCTGGTGCTTATTAACTTGAAGAAAGTACTAAACGCTTTGCTGTTCACCTATAAAATATTCACTAGTTACTTAATGATTTTGGTAAATAAAAGTTTTTTTGATTTTCACTACTGATATAGAACAATAATAAATAATTGCATAAAAATCCGTAAAGAAGTTTTATTCAAGTTCAAAGTGTTCGCGTTTCGAGTTAATTATTACGATAAACAACACTTTATGAATTACTTAGACCTTAGACAAAAGAGGCATAAAATATCAGATAAAATATGACAAAAGATATAAATTTCGCAGATGCAGGTGATGTCTTAGTCATTCTATTGTTTCGAAGTTGTTTGAATGTCTTATAAAAGAATTGTCACGCTATAACGAACGTTCAGTATTAGGCCAAGGCGGGCGTCACAAAAAATTTCTTGATATATGATTCCTTCCATTTAGGTAGACGTTAGTCATGAAAGTTATAATGCAGGTCGTGTACGACGCGTGTTAAACGAAATAGAAAATCTATTGAGAATACAAAGACATCAAATAGTTTTTTCTATTTATTTTTATTTTATTTATTTATTATCTATGTTTTTATCGTCTATGTTTAAGAGAACAGTAAAGTGTTCATCAGTTTAGCTGAGCCTTATAGAAGAACCTTTGTAGCTCAGCGGAAAACAACTCGCATTAAAGTTTATATCACGTGAGCAACCTGGGAGCTCGATCCCGCTAGCATCAACAAAATGGTTTTTAAGTGCTACTTTACTTCGTGCGAAAGTTTTTTTTCGCCAAAGGAAATAAGAAAACCTTCGCCAATGAAGGAAAGCTGCACTTCTAAGTAAAGTACAGACAATTTTCGATATATTGTTTCACATAAAATAATCGTTACA